AGCAAAGGAGTTAGCACTTTACATGCTAACAGTTAGCCAGACGAAAGACCCACTGGCAGTGGTCTCCACTAATGTAGGGTGTTGCAAAGAGTAGTGGAGATGCTGTTGCACTGTTTTTTTTTACTGCAGTTCTAAATCAAATCAGTTAAAAGTTTAATATTCCACAATATTATCAGTCGTATTGTGATATTTCACGTGTCTTATTACCATGAAACAGATCAAACGTATAGGTTGAGATTGTTAAATAGTTTAGAACTGTGTGTGTTCTAGAAATAATTTTAGATGGTTGAACAATTTCCTGGCATGTCTTCTTCAAGAGAATTGAGGATGTCGAACAGTTCAGAACTAAATGCCCTTCAGAATTGAGTTGAGACTATTAAACAGTTCAGGACTATTTTCCAGGATTATGTCAAGACTGTAAAGAACTTCATCTCTTCAGAAAAAAGTTAAGACCCCGAAATAGCTCAAACTAAAGTTACTAAACAGTTTATAACTATATTATGAATGCTAATTGAGTAAACTGATATGGAAACCGTTAAAAATCTCAGGAAGGCATATCTTCAAGAAATAATATGAGACTGTCAAGAAGGTAAATGTACATCTTTAAACAGCTTAGAACTGCATGCTTTCTAAAGGTAAGTGTTCACTGTTAAAAATGTAGAACTGCATGCTTTCTAAAGGTAAATGTACATCTTTAAACAGCTTAGAACTGCATGCTTTCTAAAGGTAAGTGTACACTGTTAAACAGTTTAGAATTGCATGATTTTCTAAAAGTGTACACTGTTAAACAGTAAAGAACTGTTTGTTTTCTAGAGATAAGTATACACTGTTAAATAGTAAAGAACTGTTTGTTTTCTAGAGGTAAGTGGACACTATTAAGAGCTTAGAACTGCATACTTTCTAGAAGTAAGTGAACATTGTTAAATTGTTTAGAACTGTATATATTTGTATAAATGAGTTGACACAGATAAATAGTTCAGGATTGCGTACTTCCAGAAGTAAGTTAATACTGCTAAAATGTTCTTTAGATAGATTAGAATTGTGTTTTCAGAAGCTCATTGCGATTATCAAAAGGCTCATAAGACTATTAATGAAGTAAATGAGCACTGAAGCTGTTAAAAAACCAGATGTTTTTCACGAATAAGTTAAAGTCATTAATCATTTCAACAATATTTTCTAGAATTAAGTTGTCTTGCATTACAGACATCTTATGGTTACCTAATGCGCTACTAGCTCTCACGGTTGCCCAGAAATTATGATCCTACTATAACCTAACACAACAGTTCTTATTAGATTCTAATACTTTTATGTTTGAGACTTTGACAATAACCTTTAAAAAATTTTGAATTCTCTGTGAGATATTATTTCAAAGTCTAATAAAAGTGTTGTTAGTATTACAATGAGCTTACAAAGACTTAAAAATTGTACTTATGTTGTACAAATCAATGTCTGCAAGTAGCATTCTTCAGAGAATTAAAAAACCTCAAATATCGCTTGAGTAGAATCCAGTAGGGAGCTTTGAATCTCTAACCTGCAATTGGAAAAGCTGACTATAACGCTATTTATGGGTTTAATAAGAATAGAGCCTCAGTAATGAAATAGAACTATTGAATGCATTTTAATGGTTCTAGATGTTATCCACACACTATGATCTCATTGATGTAATAAAAAAGGATAAACTTACTCTTCTAGTGTTCAATCTGAGTGTTTGAAATGACAAATTAAGTTATAATAAAAACTTTGCTTTTAGAGCAGAGATTCCTGTAAGAAGTCTATCTAAATGACAGTCCACAGAGTAACATACAGGAGCACGTTAATTTTCTCTCGTACAAGTATTTAAAAGGTTCATCCACTATGTATTTTCCTGATTATTATCACCATCACGATGTTATCGTTGACCAATATAGACATTATACTCAAGGGGGCTGCAAGATCGTATACCTAATTAAACAAGAATTCTTTTTTTGTTTTGTGTTTTAGATTCGGACACTTAAATGGTAAGGAGTGTCTAAATTGAGATTGGATAAAGTTTTCAAGCATACTAACAAGAATTATTTGTTTTTTACCTATGTTATAATTAAGCTTTCATATCTCAGTATGTTAATTAACTGCCCCATAGAAAAGGCAACACTTCTTACTATTATTCAGATGATTCATGTTATTGGAAAGTTAATAATTTCACTTTTCTTTGTTGTGATATATAAATATGATTTTTACAGCTAATTTCAACATCACCTGTTCCATATGATACATAGATATAAAGTATTCTACTTTCTCTGAGTGAATATTTTAATTAAATTAAGATTTGTTGTATTATTGTTTGGTCATAGTATACCCAGTTCTATTCCTCCAGTTTTAACGTCCCCTGTGTCAGCAGCGATCGATTCTCTCTTGGTAATATTTTGAACACCCCCTCCCCCAGTGTCACAGCGGGATGTCTGCAGTTTTGCAACCCTAAAAACCGAGTTTTAATACCCGTGGTTGGCAGAACACAGATAGCCCAAACAAAACCTCCAGTTTATTCGAATAAGAATATAAAATTAATTCAGTTAATGGTTATGCATCATTTTTACATATAAATCTTATTTTTCACACGATTATCTATGTAAGCTTACCCAGTTTACGAGGTTCACTGATAATTGCTCTCTTGTCAGATACTTTTCGAAACAATATTCTGTTCGTACGATTTTCTAAATGTACTCTGCAATGTTTATATTGCAAGCCTCAAAACCCTCATTTGTAAATTATTTGTTTTCTTTTATATATTCACTCGAGCAGGACTAAGTTGAATGAGGGAAAAAAGCTAAGAATATGTAAGAGAAGCAATAGATAAATTCCGATAAAATATAATCGAGAAAATAAGCTTTGGCAAAGAAGGGTAAAGCAAGGGGGGGGGGGGGGTAGGACTTCCGCAGACGCTCAAATAACGAAGGAGAAGCAGCTCAAGAATAAAAATAAAAATACTAGTAAAAGCAGTGAAAGAGTACAAAAAACAAGAGCGTTAATGGTAAAAACGGGATCGAGTTTTATCTGTGCTGCATTTTAACAAGAACGAATTAAACTGAAGTACGGCTATTTTTCCCCCTCTTCTATCATGGAATTACGTGTTCGCAGACGTAGACAAAACAAACTTGAAGGATTCTAGAGCCAAGACAAAGGATTGGACGAGAAAAGACTAGGATAACACGGATAATTTAGTTTTATACATAAAAGCCAAAGTGTGAACGAATATGTGCATTTCAGAGGATTTTGTTGCCTTGGCAACTATGCCGGAAGACAGAGTATTGGCTGCTATTTCAGAATAACCTCAGAACTCCAAAGTAAGTTTTTCCTGGCAGGAAATATAAACTTTTGATTTTTTTTCAATATTTAAAAAAAAATGCACTTTTTTATCACAACACTCCAAATTGCTGGTATTAATTCTGTGCTGTCAAGAAATTTTAAATTTACTTCTACTCTGAAAAAAAAATACTATTCTCTGAAAAATTTACTCTGAAATAATAAGTTTTCAATATAAGTGCTTTTGAAATTTGAAATGACATATTTGAATTCTTATAACTTCCACCTGAAAACTATGTAGCAGGTTTATGCATTCATCTGAAATATTTTTATTCGTTCAGACGGTGCCTTTTCACTCTACATACTGGCTATTATTATACAAAATAGTACCAGTTTGATGAAAAAAAAAAAGGATCACCCTCTGAAAGCGCTCGGGTTAAAGGGTTTCTTATTTTTGTCTTTAAATAGTACTACTAGAGGGTGCTGTGAAACCATATTAACCGACAGCGCAATCTCAAATAACATTAGATTAGTGCAGAGTAAAACTGTATAAATTTTGACTAGCGTTATACAGAATTGGCGCTGAAGTTGCGTACCAGAAAAATGCGCCGCTATAATCCATATAAATAAACGTCAATATGTGTGTGTATTTGTGTGTGTGTGTGTATCTGTTTCTTATACCTTTCCACATTTCTTGATCAGTCAGCACGAAACTTGACACAGTGATACAAGGTGACATGAGGAAGGTCATGAGAGGTGCTGTATCCCCATCTAATTTCATATTGATGGATTTATTGAAAACTGTATATCTTTTTTTTTCATTATTGGTATCTTTATGTATTTTTATTGCACTTTTAATGTTTATTATGTTGCAAAAATAGAAGCACAATTTCCTATATTTTATTACAAACGAGTTTTTTATTTTACCCGTCCGATGGACGGGTACTCCAGCTAGTGTTCACATAAGGAAAAATGTTAGAAACCAACTCAATAAATATTATACTAATTATCAAAACTTAAAGTGATATAGACAAAACAGCAAAAAGATGTCATCAACATACAATTAAATAATATAATATTATAAAATATTTTATAGTAACTAAACTTGAAAAAAGTAAACAAGGAGCATACACAAGGAATATATTGTTTACATACACCACGAACCAGATCACAGGTTCTCAAACGGGATCTGAAAAGAGCTTTAGAAGGTCTCTTGAGAACAGAGTAATTTCTACTTATAATTTAACATTTTACAGTTTGTGTTCTATTGAATATTAATAAACTGTTTGAAGAAAAAGGAAATTCTAGGCCCATAAGCAACTGAAAGTTTCAACGTGAACACACTTTGTGTACACGTGGACTAATTGGTTTACATTTAGCCATCCCTCATTTTGAACTACTGACCAAAGGAAGGTAGACTGTCAGCAACATCCGCCGACAAAAGCCTTTGCCTGGCTTTTTAATTTGAACAACAGGATTGACTGTCACTTTTAGAACGCCCCTACATCTGAATGTACGAAATGTGTTCAGCGACATCACGTCTCGAACGCCGGACCCTTCGACACGTTAACTACCATGCCACTCTCGGTCCACTCCTACGGAAATCACTCATGTCGATAGATTTGAGAGCCTATGAACCAGAATGCCACAGTGCAAACTACAATTGCTTACTAAGATAAACTCATTATATATATCGAAACTCGTGTATTAAATAAACCTACCGTCTTGTAAAACATACAAGCTTGCCTGTCTTCATCCTCCCCCTGTGGGCAGTCAATGAAGCCGTCGCAGAGTTCGTGGTCATCTATACATCGGTATCGACTCAATCTGTCCGGGGTGGGACAAGCATACCTTTCATTTCCGTCCTCGGCTGGTGGGCACTCTGTGAGATCGAAAGGTTAAAGTTCTAAATTAGTTTGTTTCTAATCCAGTACACAATGTCAATGGAAGTGGCTTTAGCACAACTATCAAAGGTTTTAAACATTCTACAACCTGCATGCAACCCTAATTAACATTCTACAGTTACAGAATTGACGTATAAAGGAAATCTAATGTTTTTATGACATTTTTCTCTTGACTGTTGTTGTGAGCTGGTTGGAGAGTTCAGATATTAACCGAAAGGCTTCGTTGACTGCGACATAATATAAAGCATAATTAACACCATATTTATTGTAACAATGTATACTCGACTATAGAACAACCTTACAAAAAGGTTTACCCATTAAAATGTTTGCTTAGGGTTTGTTTGAGCAACGTCTGGCATGGCCAGATGGCTAGGGCGCTCGGCTCGCAATCTGTGGGTTCGAATCCCCGTCCCACCCAATATGCTCCCACTTTCAGGCGTGGGGGCGTTATAATGTGATGATCACTCCCACTATTCGTTATTACAAAAGTAGACCAAGAGTTGGCGGCTGGTGGTGATGACTAGCTGCCTTCCCTCTAGTCTGTCACTGCTAAATTAGGGACGGCTAGCGCAGATAGATTTGCACGAAATTAAAACCAAACTCTTCAGGCAATTTGCAGAGCGTAGTCAGTGGCTAAAAATCTGAAAGTCGGTAATTACATTTTAGGAGTTGGTTGAATAATGTTTTACCCTAATTATGTATATTTTTCTAATAACTTTGATTGCATTGTTACATGTGTATAACAAAACCACAACAGTTCTGGCAATATCGGTTTGAAGTATTCCTGTAAATAAACAATGTGAAGAGTTGAAATTTGTTTGTTTCTTATTAAGTACAAAGCTACACAGTGGGCTATCTGTGCTGTACCCGCAGCAGGTATCTAGACCCGCGTATTAGATCTGAGGTCTTAAAATATTTTGGTAAATCACTTAATAAAGGCCGACCAGTCAAGGTCATGACTAGAGTTTGAGCTAAATGGTCATATCATCTTCCCAAAGTTTTGAGTCGTGATACGTCAACGAGCACATAATGTTATAATTGTGACAGTTAATCCTTCTATTTGGTTAAGAGTAGCCGAATATAAAAGTGATACTGTTGACTGTGATCTCTGATCTGGCTGCTTAGTTCAGTGTCGCGTAAGGTGCCTTCAAGTTCAAATATCAAATCAAGAACTACATGAACTGAAATCAGTAGAAACTGTATAATTTCAACAACTACCTAAAACTCACAAATGAGTACTCAACTATAGGAACTCTAAACAAATAATAGGACTAAAGCACTACAAAAACAGTATACATCACGTGATATAAGTATCACTTGGGGGAACCAAATATAAGGTAATGATTTGAAAATATGGATTAATAAAATACACCCAATCTGACTAAATAAGGGTGGCATTAGAAACTTGTTAGAACTTAAACAACTACTTAAACATAACTAATCACAGATCATGAGCAGCGCTTGAGGATATCAAACAAATTGTAGTACTTCAAAATCTATTGAAACAGTACCAATCACGGACCATGAGTAGCGCTTGAGGATACCTAACAAATGGTGGTACTTCAACACCTATAGAAACAGTGCCAATCAAGGACCACGAACAGCGCTTGAGGATATCAAACAAATGGTGGTACTTCAACATCTATAGAAACAGTGCCAATCAAGGACCACGAGAGGCACGTGATAAAGTTGTAACAAAAGCTTACACTCAAAATGACACAAACAAATAATTCCAATTTCACTTTTGTACCCATCGTTTGCTTTATACGTTAGTGTAGATAAAACAAATCCTACTTACGTAAAGTAGGTTTTGAACACTGTATAAAAGTATACATATGTACATGAATATTTATGTACATACATAATTCTAGAATGTAAAGTATATTGCTCTGCTAATGATGAAAAAATCATCATTGATGAAACCAGGCAAGTTGAATAAAACTATCATTTTGCAAAAATGGCTAGTTAGTTTTGTAATGTTTGTTTATAGTGTTCTGGAATTCATATGAAAGCAGCTGAACAGTTTGGCACTGACTTTTTTATAGTTTCAGCAATCCAAGTTAAGATAAAACTAATGTAAAATGTAATATTACATTGTTTTAAAGTATTACTAGAAACATTAGAATAAATACCTAATACTTTAGATATATAGTACAGTTCTATTAGTGGAGAACTCCGCTTTGCCTTTTTATTAAGTTTCCGAACTGTAAAACCAAGGGTTCTTGGTTCGTGTCCTGTAGCCGAAAAATGACTCTCTGCAGTTTGAGGCCGTGTGCGCGATATAAGATTGATGATCAAATCGCACCTTTTGATTAGAGTAGTCCAAAAGTTCACTGTGGGTGCTATTTACTAGCTGCTTTCCCTTTAGTCCATCAGTTCAAAACTAGGGAAGTCAAACTCAGATATCCTTTGTGTAGTTTTGCTCGAATATCCGAAACAAACAACCCATTAATGCTGCGACCCTTACGTTTCTCAAAAACATGCTTCATTAACATTTTTGGATCTTTTCAATCAAAACGCGTAACAACAGAATTAATATTAGCACTTATCTACAATTGAAATGCACGTGTAAGAATTCAACATTAGTTAACAAGTAGAAACATTTATTCTTATAATAGAGGACGTAATGTTTAACTTTAGATAAAAAAACGTTAGAATGGACTCACAGACACCACATGTTAAAGTTCAACACTGGTTAGCAAGTATAAGTATCTAATAGATGTAAATATTGAACCAGATATAAGACGTTACAGTATAACCACAGAAACTACTTGTTAATATTTTGTTATATTTATCACAATTTAATATTCAAGTACAGGAAATTATACACAGATAACAGATTTAACATTGAGTCACAAGGAACTTATTTTAGTGTTTAATTATTCATTAACTATTACGTTTAATTACACCAGAAGATGTTTCATCTGCTTGCAGAAAGTACATATTATACGTAATAGGCGTTACCTTTAGCTACAGATAACATAAGTTACTATTTAGATATAAATGCATAAAAAAGAATTCGAATCCTTCCTTTTTCTTACGAAACCGTTCTGTATTTAACCGGTTTCGTACCATCATTGGCTATTCTTCAGTATAAAAGCTATAAAAAACCAAAGAACAACTAAACATTTTTTTAGAAAAGTATTAAATGTAAGTTTAAAATTGATATGAAATGTGCAAATTTCATTTTTAAATTAAAACATTTAATTGTATATTTTTTACTAAAACAACAACTCAGATTAACAAAATAAATTATCTTATTTCTAACGTTTCAAATCAAAACCTAGTTAAAAGGTCTTTAAATTGACACCAACAATTTTTTTTACGTTAACGATAAAATTGCTTTAATACAATACACAATACAGACAAAATACGAAACCGGTTAAATAAAGAAGAGTTTGATAAACAAAGAGCACTTGGGTAAAAAAAAGAAGGGATTCGAGTTTGCATATACATATTTATCTTGAAGTGAAACCGCTTTCCATTATAAGCATATTTATTGTTGGATCACGTTTTTTCTTTACCTTTAAAATAGAGGTTTTGTTTATTTTGCTTCTTTTCATCTACAGCACTCTGACAATACTATTAGAATGACATAACCTTAAGTCACATGTAACACTGTCTGTTTTGGGCTACCAACATAGTGAATGATGACATGTTATGTTCCAACAAACTTATCGGTTCCGAGTCCAGCCAGAATGAAAAAAAAAAAAGGAAACGGTTTGAAAGAGACCGTTAAGTTTGTTCTAGCCCAGAAGGTTTAGTGAAGAGCTCATAACGTGGAATTGATATGAAGCTGAAACTGGGGAAAATAAATGAAGCAATGGTAGGGTAGTAGTTTTTGCGTCTTATTGTAAACTCTAGCGTACGTTAAACAGAGTTAAATGATCTCCAAAATCCTAGAGTTAACATAGCAGATGTAACAACAAAAGAGTTACATTGGTAAACTGACAACGCACCGTGTTGCATTTTTCTCTTGTATGATATTAGGATCCTGTTAGAGACTTTTCACTTTTATTGTTTGAGAAATATTTCGTAACTAGGTGTATACTAAAACATATCTTTACAAATATAGACTCATCTTTAGTTTTTTAACCTTAAAATTGTGATTTGATCGTAGAGAAATTGCTATGGTTTTGGTGTCAGTTTGAATCAAGAGAAAATCCGCTTGACTAATGTCTTATATAAAACTTTACACGAGTTTAGGGTTCGATCTCTTGCTTCGGAGAACTCACAAAATGTTCTATGGTCTTCTTAAAGCAAGACTACTTTTGCTCAGAACCATCGTATTTTGACATTGATTTACACTGTAAGAATGGTTTTCAGCATGCTTATGATATCTTGGGCACTCTGCGCACATATTAGAAACAATAATAAATGACCTTCGTTTATTTCTTGTGACTTTTTTTTTTTGGTGAAGTTCTGATCAATCATATCTAAGTCTGAATCACTGAATGATCTAAGACTGTTTATTTGGTTTGTTGAATTTCGCGCAAAGCTACTCAAAGATGAAAGGCAGCTAGTCAACACCACCCGTCATATTATAATGTTCCCTCAGCTGAGGGAAAATATATTCGGTGACAGGTTTCGATCTCGCGACTAGCAGATTACGAGTCCAGCGCCCTAGCCTTTAGGACATTCTAGGCCATAATGAAAGACCACTCTATCTTCATCTCTCTTTGTATGTATACATATATATACGTATAATATAAGCTAAATGATCAGTCATATGCATTTCAGATTACATGACTGGTTATTATATGCCATACTTGGATAATAATCAACAGAGGGGTGGATTGACATCTGTCTATATATATAAAAGTCACTCTTTGTTTACAACGTTACCTGTGTCAGCAACGCTTGATTCTCACTTGGTAACGTCACGTGGTGTTAGTGTTCATTTTGTGAATATCTTCAAAACTCAACTCAAAGCTAAAATTTATTTCGATTTTTTACGGTTTCGGTTACGAGACAAACT